CTCTCCCAGCATCAGCATGTGAAATGAACTTGCTGGAGCAGTTTCCTGAAGGTCGTACATAAATTAAAAGTTAAATATTCAAATGACAGGTGTTTGACTTTTGCAAGGAAGATTCATGGCCTCACAGTATTGTTGCAGTGTGTTCCAGAGAGTATTTACGCATTAATAAGCACTCGCTGCCCCTCGCTCCTGCAACACCTTTCCCTTGTTATTAGAAAGACTTGATACGGCCAAAGCGCAAAACTTCTGCAGTGTGGCCCATGGATGGGTTTTGTTAGGTCCATGCAGTACCTTAATGTTCAGAATTGATTGCCATTGCTTAAATATGGAAAGAGTTCACTTTTTTAAAATGACAAGATTATCTTTTTTAAAATGACAAGACTTGGTAACAGTGTCCTGTGATCTCACATCTGGGCAGGTGCCTGTGCTCCCCAGTTCCCTCCCACTGTAGATTTCCTGTTTCCTCATTTACATTCCATCCTGGCCCTTGGCCACACTGAATGCTCAACCCTCATTCCCTCTTTGCCCTGTGAGCAGCCATAACGATAATGCTGTGTGCCTGCTCAGCTGCTAACATACGATGTCACCATATTTGACTTTTTGCACTTATAGTTTTTTATCTTAAAAAAAATGGGTATTATATCTGGCACCTATTGTCCATGAAAACCTTGACAATTAGTGTGATTTTTTTAAAGAGCATTTCAATGTAAAATTATTTATTGCCAGTTTAGTTAGCACGTTTTTAAAAAAAATGACTTTGTTTCATGAATTAAGGGTGTCTCTATAGCAGACACCACTATCTCTTTAGCCAAAACGTAAATGTTTTAAATGAGTTTTTGTTTGACACGTTGTTTTTTTAGAAAATTTTAAGCCAATGATAGAAGCCCGAAAATAACTAACATATACTTACATATTTATATGTAAATATTATAATATATACTTAGAGCCAAACTGTAAATTTATATATATGTATATACTTATGGGTATATTAATTCCTGTAATACATTTTTAGCTTTCAGTAATTATAATAAAATTTCTTCTTAAATAACTTTTCATTTCTTATTAACTTTTAAGTAATGTGTTTGATAAGTTAATATAATTTAAAAGCCAGTTTAGGATGAACCGAAAAACAAAGCACCACATGTGTGGATGTTAACTTTAGACGATGGTCTTTCTTTGCAGAATACGGCAGGAGAATGATATGGTTGATTCAGCGCCTCAGTGGGAAGCTGTATTAAGGAGACAAAAGGAAAAAAACCAGGCAGATCCCAACAACAGGCGATCCAGACACAGATCTCGCTCGTATGTGGACTCTTTTTGTACTTTGATTCAAAAACACTGAGCTTGAAGTAGCATGTGGATTCTAGGGCAGATTGGCAAATTAGCTGTCTCTTTGAGGTTTTTTAAAGTGATTTAGTTCAACCATGATTATCCTGTTGTTTATTTGTCATATTTACCTTCTTATATATGTGACTTTCATTAACTGTATCTGAAGCTATAGAAGTTGGAACACAGCCAAACCAAAATGTCATCAAAAAACAAGGCTATCAAAATCATGTTTCGTTTAGTTTTCAATCAAAAGCATATATTCAGCTGAGTAAGTAGGAATAGTTTCCTTTGTTCTGGAGCCTGGCTGTTGGTGAAATACCTGCTGCTTCTCTCAATTGGAGTCTGCAGAATTCTCTGAAGTCTTGTTTCAGATTGAACCAGATGCGAAAATCTTCCCATCAAATTACCATTTGTGAGCAGTAGTCAGTGAGTGATTCATTATACCCCAATGTTGGGATTTGCCTGTTCCTTCTGTTGCTAGGCAATGCCATGTGTGAACACAATTACCCCATAATGATGAGATTGCCAGTCCCCCAAATTAATTTTCTTTTGACCTGTTTATGAGTTTGTTTGTTTTTTTTAATGTGTGCATTGTCCAGATTTAGGCTCTCCATCCCCACCCCACTTCCCAAAGCTGGGACTTACTACCCATCCTTCATGATGTTGCTTACTCATGGAAGTGGAAGGGTGCTGGCGAGTAGATTTGGAGACAAACTGTGTAGGTAGGTGGGAACTCTGAGGAAGCCAGGAAGAAGGGTGCCAACTTAGATTAACAGATGTCAGGGAAAGACTCCGCACAGGACACCCCAGAACCCTGCATGACTCTTAAGAGATGCTTCTCAGTTTTAGATGCTTACTTTTTCATTAAAAACTGACCCCCCAATTTTTTTTTATCTGTAGTACCTCATATGAGTAATATCTGTTTCTTTTGTAATAAGAAATTTGCAAATACACCAAGCTGTATCCAGTAAGTCTTCACCTAACTAACATCATTGATAAGATCTATGGCTTTAAGCAAAATGATGTATAACAAACCAGTTTTACCACAGGGTAACTGATATAAAGAATTAAGTTCCTATGGCACCTCATCAACATTATAACAAAACAATGTTATTTGAGGATCTGCTTTACACCTTTATAGGTTTATTCCTTACTCCATAATGTTTTTGTTCTGAAACTTAATTAAAATGTTCAGTTTAAGGCAGAAGTTAATAAAAAGCTTCCTTTGTCTCGGATACTATTTCTTCCCACTTCCATTAAACAAGAGAGGTTTAGATCTGGACAGATCAAGACCTCACTGAACACAGTCTAACAAAAAAGGCACAGAACCCCAAGATCAGGTCTCAGCACAGTCATGAGTAAATCTTTTGTAACCATGCTTTAACCTATCCACGTGGAACCTTATTCTATGAGAGACTTGTAATCCACAAGGTCTGGTGACTTCATATTAAATCTTAAAACAGCATTCAGTTTTTCTAATCATTTCTGAAGCTCTCTAAATTCAAGTAGATGTCAATAGTAAATCTAATTTGTTAAAAAAAGGGAAAAGTAAAATAAAATCCTACATAGAGATTTTAAGGAAGTCAAAAAACAGTACTAGGGCAGTACTAAGTAAATGAAACAATTCATTTACAAGTAAAATCAGAAAAATCAGTGTTAAGTATTATAGTTATTATAATTCAGTTATAGGGCAAACATTTGTAGATGGGCCTAGGAATTTAATCATTTTAATGGAGTTATGTGAGATTTATTTAACAGCCTAAGGAATAAACTTTTTATTTTTAAATCTAGGCTAATTTGAGGTAAAATTTACATACAATGAAATGCTCTTAAGTGTACAATTCAGTGAATTTTGTCAAATAAGTGTATCCATCATGCCAATCAAGATATAGAATGAAAAAGTTCCCTCATGTTTCTTCTAGTTAGTCCCCAACCCATGTAGACAACCACTGTTCTGATTTCTATCACCATAGATTAGTGTTTGTCTCTTATAGAACGTCATACAAATGTAATTATACAATGTATGCTCTTTTAAAACTTGAGTTCTTTCATTCAACATGTTTTTGAGATTAAACCATGTTGTGTGTGTCAGTGCTTATTGAAAATTTTTGAGTAATAGTCCATCGTCTGAATATACTAAATGTCCATTCTCATCTTGATGGACATTTGGACAGTTCCCGGGTTTTGCTATTATGGTAAAAGCTCCTATAGACATTCTGTATAAGTGTATCTGTGGAGTTGTGTTATCTTTTGCCTTGGGTAAATACCTGGGAGTGGAATTGCTGGTTTGAGGATATTTGCATATTTAATATTATAAGAAACTATCAAAATGATTTCCAAAAAAGTAGTTTCATTTTATACTCCTACTAGCAATGTATGAGAGTTCCAATTCTGCCCCATTCTTACTCATATTTGCTTTTGTCTGTCTTGTTACTTTCAGCTACTCTAGTAGGTATGAAGTGGTATTTCATTGTGGTTTTAATGAACATTTCCTTGATGACTAATGATGTTAATCACATTTTCCTATGCTTATTGGTGATTCATATATCTTCATTTTTAAAGCCTCTCTTCAAGTTTTTGCTCTTTTTCCTTTTTAATTGGGCTGTTTGTTTTTTTTTCATTAATTATTTGTAGTGTTCTTTATGTATTTTGGATATAAGTTCTTTTTCAGATGTGTGTATTATTGTGAATCCTTTCTCCTGGCTATAGTTTACTTTTTCATGTTACTAACATTGTTTTTTGATGAGCATACATTTTAAATTTTGATGAAAATCACTATATCATTTTTTTTTATTTACAGTTAAGGCTTTTCTACATATTAAGGAATATTTGCCTATACCAAAGTCACAGATATTTTTTCTAGCAGCTTTATAGATTTTGCTCTTATATTCAGTTCTGTGATCCATTTAGAAATAATTGTTCTCTATCTATGAGGTAGAGGTAAATATTTAGAAGGTTTTTTTCCATGTGTTTTATCTGGTTATTTCACTACCATTTACTGAAATGCCTTGGGGCCTTTGTTGAAAATCAGTTGGTTGCTTATATGTGGGCCAGTTTTATTTCATTGATCTATTTGTCCCTAAGCCACCATGTTGTCTTGGTTACTGTAGCTTTATAATAAGACTAGAATCAGGCAGTGTAAATTCTCCAACTTTGTCCTTTATTTCAAGGTTATTTTTTCTACTTTAGGTCCAAGGCAGTTCTATGTAAATTTTTAAATCACCTTGTTAGGTTTTTTTTTAAACTATCAACTGTAGATTAGGATTATGTTAAATCTGTAGATCAATTTTGAGAAAATTAACTTCTTCCAGCAATGTTTCATAGTTTTCAATGCAGTTATTGCATTTATTTTGTTAAATTTAATTCTAAATATTTAATAGTTTTAATGGTATTGAATTATACATTTGAAATTTTTGTCTTCCAATTGTTTGTTAGCATATAGGAAAACATTATTTTTTAAATACTGATTTTGTATCTTACCATCCTGCAACATTGTTAAATTAATGTATTAGTTCTAGTAGCTTCCTTTTTTCCTTTTTTTGGCAATTTCTTAGGGTTTTTTACATTTATGACTATATAGTTTGTGAACCTAGACAGCTTTCTTTTGTTTCTAATCTTTTTGCCTTTTTTTTTTCCTTAGTGTACTGACTAGATCCTCCAGTATAGTATTGAATAGAAGTGGTGAGAAAGACATCCTTGGCTTTTCTTGTTCTTAGGGGAAAATATTCAATGTGTCACATTAAGTATGAAGCTAGCGGTAGGACTGAGGAGGACCCCTTCCATCCTTGTTTGTTGAGAGTTTTTGTCATAAGTGAGTTTTGAATTTTGTTCTAAGCTCTTTCGGCATCTGTTGAGATGATCGTATATGGGTTTCCTTTTTTATTCAGTTAGTGGAGGATTTACATTGACAGAGTTTTGAATGATACATGTTTGCATTCCTGGGATAAGCTCCTCCTGGTCCTGATGTATTATCCTTTTTGCATATTACTGGATTCCATTTGGTATTATTTTGATAAGATGTTCTATGTTCACGAGAAATATTGGTCTGTAATTTTCTTGCAGTGTCTTGTCAGGTTTTTGGTAACAGAGTTATATTTGTTGCTTGGAATTATTTGGGAAGTGTTCCTTTTTCTGCTATTTTCTGAAAGAGTTAGTGTCAAATTAGCATTATTTTTTCTCTCAATTATAGTTCACCAGTGAAATCTCTGATTGGAATTTTCTTTGTGGGAAGTTTTAATTTACAAACTCAATTTCTTTAACAGATACTGGCCTGTTCAGATATTCTACTTGTTAAGAGTAGGTTTAGGTAAATTCTTTAAAAAACAATTTGTTCCTTTTATCTTTGTTGTCAAATTTGTCAGCAAAATTTTGTTCATGGTAATTTTTAGTATCCTTTTAATATCTGTTGTGATATCATCTTTCATTCCTGATGTTGACCATTTGTGTTTTCTCTTCATTTTTTCTTTATCTTTTCAGAGAACCAATTTTGGGTTTTGTTGATTTTCTGTTATCTGTTATCTATTTCATTGATTTCCACTCTTTATTACTTTCTTCCCTCTATTTTGTCTTTTATTTGTTCTTTTTTTTTTTATTTCCTTAAGGTAACACTAATTTTAAACCTCTCTTCCTTTTAAAAATAACTATAAAGTTATACATTTCTCTCTAAGCCCTGCTTTAATTATATCTCACATATTTTGATAAGCACTGCTTTTATTGTCATGTTTTTATTGTTTTTATTGTCATGGAATTAAGATTGTTAATTAGTTGACCTTCTGCCAGGGAGATTATCCTGAATTATTCAAGTAGGCTGAAACTAATCTTTATTTTCTCTTGTTATTTCTTTGATCATGGATTTTTTTAGTAGGCGTTTGTTTAATTTCTACATATTTGGGGATTTGCTAGATATCTCATTACTATTTATTTTTTTATTTAATTCCATTGTGATTTTAAAAATCTAAGATTTTAATCCTTTG